CCCCCATAACCTTGCATCCTCCCAAAGACATTTTCAGTAAGAATTTTATTTTTATTTTCGTGAATTTCAACGTAAATTGACGCATTACTCTCTCTCTCTCTCTCTCTCTCTCTCTCTCTCTCTCTCTCTCTCTCTCTCTCTCTCTCTCTCTCTCTCTCTCTCTCTCTCTCTCTCCTATTCTCCTGGATTGTATGTTCCCCTAATGTGTCTATCCAGGGAGTGGTGTTGTTGTTATGGTGGGGTGGGGTGGGAGTAGTGAGGAGTGGGGGTGAGGGAGTGGGAGTGGGGTGAGAAGTGGGAGTGGGGAGTGAGGTGAGGTGGGATGGGAGTAAGTTTGGGTCAGTGGGGTGAGGATGAAGTGAGGTGAGGTAGTGAGGTGGGGTGAGGTGGAGTGAGTGAGGTGGGAGTGAGGTGGGATGGGGTGGGGTGGGGTGAGGATGGGGGTGGGGGTGGAGGTGGGCTGGGAGTTAGGGGGTTGAGTGGGGTGGAGGTGGGGTGGGGTCAGGTGGGGTGGAGGTGAGGTGAGGTGAGATTGGGTGGGGTATTTCCCAACGCACTTTACCTTTTAGCTGCTGTAACTATATGTAATACTAGCTGTAACACACTTTATTTTGTGGAGGAACTAGAGGGTGTCTTAACTAACGCACTCGAATTGATATTAACCAACACACTCTTAACTGATATTAACCTGGCTTCTACCCTGAACCTGGCCTCTTCTACCTCTACCTCCGAGCCTGGCTTCTTGTACCTCTACCTCCGAGCCTGGCCTCTGACCATCCATTGTTTGCCTCACCGGGTGCCTGGAACCACTTAACCGCGTCTCCTGGAAACTCGTTTCTTATTTGGAACCCCAGGTGAAGATACTTCCAGTGTGTGGGTGTGGGTGGGTGGAGGTGGGTGGGTGTAGGTGGGTGGGTGTAGGTGTGTGTGTGTGTGTTCAACAATTGAAAGCTCAAGAAGCAATGTGTTTCATATCTCTCTCTCTCTCTCTCTCTCTCTCTCTCTCTCTCTCTCTCTCTCTCTCTCTGTAAGACATAGATACATATAAAAACAGATTATGAAAAGAAAAAATCATAAACAATAATGAGAGAGAGAGAGAGAGAGAGAGAGAGAGAGAGAGAGAGGACCACCACTTCCTAACAACCGGAAGCTGAGGGGATAAAAAGGTACGGAACTTTATTGGCCAGTAATTAGCCTTTGGGAGTATAAAAACCAAAAAGTTACCCCTACCCTCGCCCCTAATTAACCCCCCCCCCCCACAACCTAACTACCATACCTGCCACCAATCTACACCCCAGAGCTCTGTTTCCTTCCCTCCCCGAACCCACCACCCTGCCACACTCTCCACCCCTACACAGTCCACACTCACCCACCACACCCTGACGCACCCACCCCACCCACCACCATATGCTCTCACCCACTACAATCACACTCACCACCACCCACCATACACACACTCACCCACCACCCCACTCATATCCTCCCTCACCTTACCCACACCCTCCATCACCTACCTAAAAACACATCCACCCACATCCTTCGACCCACTTGCCATTAACCACACACCCCCTCACCCACCCATCTTCAGACAACTTGCACCACCACCACCACTTGCCATAACCAGTTCACCACTAATAGTCATCACCACCCAGAGAGTCAGTCACCACACTTACACACCTCTCAGTAGAATAATCATCAACGGTGTTCTGTGTTTGTCAGGAGGTTAATTAGTGGAGCGATGTGCCGGAACGCTGCTGCCCTGTACAATGACTTAGTAAAGTTTGTTCAACACTTCAATGATGTTTATACAATTACCTTCAGTTGCCCCTCTCTCACTTGTGACCATTAACAATACACTAAAGTTTCTATTAGCATAAGTATTTTTTTTTAACCCTATTAAGTTTTATTACATATCGATCTATATTATTGATTATTCACTCCCTCCCTCCTTCCCTACCTACTCCTCTCCCTCCCTACTCCTTCCCCACCACCTCCCCAACTTCCCGGCCATTTTCCACAAATATCCTACTAGATAAAACTTATTCCTCCAAACAGGTGACACTTGACCTCGAGGCACAAGTTCCTCACCATACCGCACACTGAGACTCCTTCCTGCCTGCCTCTCCTCTCTTCTTCATTTCTCTTCTCTCCTCCTCTTTCTTCCTATCGTCCCTGTTTTCCTTCTTCTCCTCCCCTTCCTTTCTTCCTGTACTTTTTTCGCCTTAATCTCCTTTCTGCCTTTATTCTCTCTCTCCTCTCATTCCTTTCCTTCATCTCCTCTTCTCTAATCGTCTCCTCTAACCCCCCCTTCCTCTTCCTAAGCTAACAGCCAAGGAAAAATTCTCCATTTACCCCAAATTTATACTAAAAAGAATTCCAGGAGAGAAGTTTAACCCAAGTGCTCTAAGTCACACAACCCTGCCGCCTTATTTTTTTCACCCCTTCACCACTTTAAGTAAAAATCTCTTCAATAATCCATTTAAAATATTTATGTCATAAGGAACTCGAGTGAATTTTATCATTTATTTCACAATACAAGTATTTTTTTCACTTCATTTCGGTAAAATTCTATAATATTTCGTTTAAAATTTATGATAAAAGGAAACTCCAGTGAATTTTCCCCCAAAAAGGAAGAGAAGTGTGTGTGTGTGTGTGTGTGTGTGTGTGTGTGTGTGTATTCCTATTCTCTCATTCGTACCCTAAAACTTTCTTGGTCTCTTTATTCTCAAAACTACGCACAATTAACACATTCTCCCGTAAGTGGTAACGACAGGAGAACTATGCCGTAGTAAGGGTAGAGTCTCAGCGTATATCTGGTGACATTGATGACTTTCTGAATGTTATAAATCGTAGTGTGACGGAAAGGTTGAATTGGGGTCACCTGAAGATCCCCCCCCCTTAGTTTATTCCACATGAAGATTAACCATTCAAATGCTAACCTAACCTAACCTTACCTAACGCTAACTAACACTAACCAACTCTAACGTAATACTAACCTTACCTAACCAAACGCTAACTAACACTAACCAACTCTAACGCAATACTAACCTTACCTAACGCTAACTAACACTAACCAACTCTAACGTAATACTAACCTTACCTAACCAAACGCTAACCTATAATTTAACCCATCCCCCCCTAATCTATTTTCAACCAATATAGCTTATCCTCCCCTAATCTAACTCCCTCCCCCCCTCCCCGGGCAGGTAGGGTTAACGCGGCTAATCATCAGGTGAAATAAGCTTTGTGTGAGGTCGCTTATTTTCCCACACATTCCAAAATTATCAAAACTTTCGAAACTTTTACCAAATGAACTGAAGAACTGGAACACTGGCTTTCAAAACTTTTACTGATAATTCATACCAAAATATTAACCAATTAAAAAACCCCATTACCAAAGTTTTAATTAATTTTTTTTTCAAATATTTTTACACCTTTTATCATGACTGAACCCAAAGAGGAGTCCAGTTTAGGTATAGTCTCTACGATGTATCTACGCCATTTTTAAATAGCTTTTATGCCCGAGTGACGATGATGCAGTCGGTAGTCTTGTTAAAAGAATATGTACAGTATGTCTATGTCTCTCTCTCTCTCTCTCTCTCTCTCTCTCTCTCTCTCTCTCTCTCTCTTTGCCTGTCTGTCTGTTAGTCTCTGTCAGTCTATCTATCTATCTTTGTTTTTGTGTCAGTCAGTGTCAGTCAGTCAGTCAGTCAGTCACACACACACACACAAGGTACTTAGCCATAATTTTCGCCACAAAGGCCACGCTAGCGACAGGTCAACATCTCAACCTAATCATTACCGTTAATTGCAAACTATAAATTGCCTCGTTCAATAGTAGCGAGAGATATTAACAGCCACGACTCGACGGCTAAACCACCAGTTACCATCAGGCTTCTATACCTGTCTACCTTGTTTATCGCCTTGGTAACCTGTGTGTGTGTGTGTGTGTGTGTGTGTGTGTGTGTGTGTGTAAGGTAAACAATTTATGTCAGGGTTACAAACACGCACATAATTAATATTCTATGCACATGTGTACCCTACCAGCCCCTGTATAATAAATTCAGCACATGCGCATTATGTCTCACACACACACACACACACACACACACACACACACACACACACACAGGAGAAAACCCTACAAAAATAAAAATATATTGAAGGGGACTCCATCATTCTCAGAACTCGTGACATCCTATACGAAGAAACTGCCCCGTTAGTGCCAATTACGTTATTAGGGATATTGTTGGCACTCTTGACCCTAAACTGCCCTGTTTGTACCAATCAGGCTCTTTGGGATATTGTTGGCACTCTGATCCTAAACTGCCGTTAGTGCCAATTAGGTTATTAGGGTTATTATTGGCACTCTTGAACATAAACTGCCCTTATTTGACACTAATGAACAGGTAATGCTAACTTCCCTCTTCTCCATTGGTGACTCTTGCTTATTAATATCAAGTAATAAAGACATCCTCATTATCACCAAGTACCTCCTCATTATCACCCGGTACTTCCTCATTATCACCAAGTACCTCCTCATAATCACCAAGTACTTCCTCATTATCACCAAGTACCTCCTCATAATCACCAAGTACTTCCTCATAATCACCAAGTACTTCCTCATTATCACCAAGTACTTCCTCATTATCACCAAGTACCTCCTCATTATCACCGAGTACCTCCTCATTATCACCAAGTACTTCCTCATTATCACCAAGTACCTCCTAATTATCACCAAGTACTTCCTCATTATCACCGAGTACCTCCTCATTATCACCAAGTACTTCCTCATTATCACCAAGTACCTCCTAATTATCACCAAGTACTTCCTCATTATCACCAAGTACCTCCTCATTATCACCAAGTACTTCCTCATTATCACCAAGTACTTCCTCATTATCACCAAGTACTTCCTCATTATCACCAAGAGATTAAACATTACAAACAACACTAACAATTCCATTTTATTGTACAGTATGTAGCAAAATATCACCTACCTTGCCAATGGAAGTGTGTCAGCTCCTAGCGCACCTGTGTGTGTGTGTGTAGATGCGATGAATGAAGGTCCAAGGTACTCCTCCTCCGTCAGTAGTATATCCAGGGAAGTTCAGTTCAGTTCAGTTCAGTTCAGTGAGGTGTTCTCTCAGCAGGTTCTACTGGGTCCTAACTGAGGCACAAGCAACCTCACTCGCTCAATCGTTAAAAATCCACAAATGATTTTCTTTAATTATCACTTTCACTAGTTTTTTTCTTCTTCTAAATATCGTTATATGTATATCCTGTTAACAATAGATCCCTGTAAAGAAAAAACTATTAATTCACTGCATTGTATTACGTAAGAATGTGATGGCGGCGGTAAAGCTCTTATAGTCTTTATATATTTGATCCTTAAGTCACGACAAAGACACAAAAGAAACTTTAACAAAAACATAAATAAAAATAAAACGTACTAAGAGACACCATAAGAAACGTTAACAAAACCAAACAAGAAACTTTGACAAAATAAAAAAAACCGCAAACAAAGACCAATAAAAACGTAAATAAATTAATCAATAAACAGTAATAAACACAATAAGAAACGGTAGAATAAAATAAATTAATAAAACGGACACCAAACATTTAACACACGAGCGAACTTTCCCGCGCGGAGACATTGAAGACAAGACTACTGCGTTAGACTGGGGGAAAAAATTATAAAACACTCGTTACATAATTACACCCGGGTGACGCTGGAATGCATTGTCTTTCCGTCTCTCAATAAAACTGCCTTTTCCCCTACTGAACATTTCTAACATGGTTCAAAGGCCCTAAAAAAAATTATTCCTTGATTAAATGGAGACATGATCCAAACGCCTTAACCAATGTCTAAATACAAACTTTTTTTAAATATATACTTAAAGAGGTATACAGTATACTGTATAATTATATGAGACTATATATATATGACCTAAAGACGTAAATGTGACCTATATATAAACTAGGCTATAGGCTAATGTATCATGGTATTATATTTACGAGTCAAAACAGTGTGTGTGTCGTCACATATCACACAGTTAAGAGATATGTTTGGTGTATCTCTCCCTGTAGTCTGGATATTTTGTGACCCAGTCTGGTTTTACGATAAGATGCTGGTGTTGTCGTTATAGTGGTGGTGTTGTTATGGTGGTGGTGTTGTTATGGTGGTGGTGTTGTCGTTATGGCGGTGGTGTTGTCATCATGGTTGTCGTGTTGTGGTTATGGTGGTGTTGTCGTTATGGTGGTGGTGTTGGTCGTTATGGCGGTGGTGTTGTCATCATGGTTGTCGTGTTGTGGTTATGGTGGTGTTGTCGTTATGGTGGTGGTGTTGTCGTTACGGTGGTGGTGTTGTGGTCATGGTGCTGGTGTTGTGGTTATACTACTGATGTACTATGTCAAAACAAACACAACGCAAAAAAATTGACACGAATATTAATGGAAATATTACAATGACAATAAATAGCATAACACTGACTTATGTTATAAATATTTAGCAAAAAATAAAATAATTTTAATGAGACATCATTCTCGGGGACTGCCTTATTTTTTCATATAAATAATTATACAATAATTAAAGCCAACTAACTCCGGAAACCATAATAATCTAAACGGAAATAAGAAATAGATTATAACATATTGTACGTACGTGTGTGTGTGTGTGTGTGTGTGTGTGTGTGTGTGTGTGTGTGTGTGTGGGGCTACAACAGGACGCCCTGCACACAAACCCCCAGGGCGGCTGGTCTTGTCATAAATGGCCAGACTTAAGTACTAGTGAGTGGCCACTTCCTACCAACACCTCTCTTCATGGTAACACACAGAACATAACTAAAATACTTCGTGGATTATAGTAGGTGGACTGTATATACAGTAATGAGAAAAAATAATTAACAACAATACACTGTTGTTTATCGGTGTAGTGTATGTAACGAAAAACATTAAATACTTATTATAATAGGAGCACGTACATACCTTATAAAACTCTAACCTAAACTTGGATACTAAAGTCCGCTATATGGAGGATTCACTATTTATAATATAACAATGAAAGGCAATCAAGTTCATAAATTAATCACTTGGTATGGTATAACATAGGCAATAATATGACACCGAAACCCGATTTCCGTGTTGCTAAGTTCCCAATCACTTTTTATTATTATTTATAAATTTTACAATTTACATATACTGTACACATAAATATTACATATTAACATATTTGTAAGTGAAATATTTGGATGACTTTTCTTTTAAAATACACTTGATCATCCATTTATTATAATATATCCTGCCTTTAATAAAGGCTATAGTCTCCTTTAACATTATAATTTTCTTTCCTACTTAACCACATACAGTAAATATAATCTGACATTAGCATGATCATGGTATTCTTATCCTTATTATCACTACAGTTAATATTAAACATTAAGTTCCCAATCACTAGGCGACGACGCGAGGCGGAGATAGTGAAATGTTCGTATATCAAACACAAAAGACAACAATGGAGTTTTTTATGTGATGCAAGTATTATTATTATTCATATATCAAGATATTACAAGAAAAACTACTATTACTACTACTACTGGTATAACTACCTGTATTACTTACACTGCAAATACGACTACTTATACTGCAACTACTACTATTAATCTCACTACTACTGCTTCCGCTACTACTACTACTAGAGACGGTTATTTTTTTCTTTGCCGGTATATAAAAACAAAACACTCCGAGCTCGTCTGCCCATAACCGAGTCACCACTATAACTAACAGCACGATATATCACTGTGAAAGATAACAATTAATCTAATCCTACCTAACTACCGTACGGCAAACGGGGACAATATATCTAATAATAACTATGGCAGACAGTAACGATATAACCAATCTTAACTGAGCCACAGTAACGATGTATCTATACCTAACTAACTATGCCAGACTTATAACAACGATGAACATACAAATTTATCTCGTCAACGCTCTTTTATATACAAATTTATTCTCATTTTACTCATCTATTTATCTGTGTTTTGAAGCAATTTATTTATTTACTTGAATAGACAGAGCTACATACATCGAACTGTAATTATATTGCCTTTCAGATGCTATAGAAAAAAAAAATCCTGTACTCCGAACATATTCTGAAAAAGACAATATTAACTTAGAAAAATCCTAAGTTTACCGTTTCTTACAATAATCACTAAGCGGTTCTCATAGTAACAAGAGCACGGTACCAAATTTGACGTTATTATTATTATTATTATTGTTGTTGTTTTTGTTGTTACTGTACAAAATAACAACAGATTTGATTCATTATAAACATGTGCTTTAAACAAAACATTTATTTCATTTTAATTACAGATGCTCCTAAGATGTGCAGTTTAGTTGTACAGGTATCATGGTAATCGATAGCCTCATGACTACACGTTCTTCCACTCAAGGACAAATTTAGACTCCCCCCTCTCTCCGTGTACAAAATAATAAGTGACATTATAACTTAATTTACTGCGACCATTAATAATAATAATGATCTCTTTTTATTACTGGTAGTTAGTACGAAAGTGTTATTATAATTATTAATTGTTAGCGTTACTGATATTGTCATCCTAACTGTAGTTACCGATACTGTATTATTATCAATAGCCTTGTATTGTCACGCGGTTTTATCATTTTTATACTCAATGACGCCTATTAACACTGAATTATTAAAAATTTAGAGACTATTTTGGCAGCTTTCGTCCGCTTTTAATATTTTTTATCACAGAAGAAATATTAATGTACATTTTAATTCAACTTATTGTTTCTAAATTTCATAAAATAGGAAAAGTAAACTAAATATGACGGCAGACACAAACCAAGCCAATACAAACTAACTTTATCAAACTTAACTAAAATTACAGTATTCTAAAATCGTTAGGTTAGGCTGGCGGGTTTTGTCTCGTCACTAATGGCTGGGGTCTACCGCTGCCTCCCTCAAGGAACACTGTTTACAACAAGACGACACTTGGCTTCACACATCTACGCTAGTAATTTAAACTGTTTACAATAACCCTTAAAAATTTTGACGTTGAATTTAGATACAACGAACTGATAAAACACAACTTTATATCTTTTAAATGAAGATAGAGAATGCGTAGTTTAACTATATTTCAATGTTACCATAATCTACTCAATATAAGCAGCGTATTACTAATTCAATATCACCAAATACCACGCATTATTAACTTCTTTCATGCCATGGTTGACTGATGATAAATCAACCTTCATTATACCCCCCCCTAATCGATTATTACACTATTACCAACAAGGACAGTAGATTAATGGTTCCAGTTTTGTAAAGGTGGATAGAAGAAGAGTTGTGGTAGAGAGGGCGAGAGCGACAAAGACTTGGATGAATAGCCACACATTTCGTACACTTAGCCCCTATTATTTGAACACTTTTCATTGGCAACGATATATTAGTTAAAATATGCACCTTCGTGTATATAATGAGTTAAAACAGCTTCGATTTGTCGTTGACTTTCTTTATCTGGGGAAATACCAAAGTACGTTCATTTTCCTTCTTCAGACTGTGATGATAGGAGAGGGAGACGTTCGAGTCACTGAGGTACATAAGAGACTAGTGCTTCAGCCTCACTAGTCATCATCTCACCAAACCTCAGGAACGAGTGTAAACACCTTCCTAAAAAAAATATTCAAAACAAACTCGAAAAGAATTTGTGACATGACTAGTAAAATGTATTTGCTGCGACCGTCACTTAGCCTAACCTAACCATTAACCACGTTACGTTAAGTTAGATGACGGTAGTAGCGATTATAATATATTTCTGAATATTTTAGGAATTAAGTGAAATTCCTAGTTACGAAGATTACCTGTAACAAACACCATAGTACATTATCATACTTACACAAGAAGTTAGGTCATTTGCGTTGGAGAGAGAGAGAGAGAGAGAGTATTATAATCTTTATGTTAATCCTCTATTAAAACTTAAACCGTGAGAGTACATTAGCATAATCTGCACTTAATCTGGGCCTGGACACGGTTCTGGCCACGTGCCTAGTCTTGGGGGCCGGGGCGGGGCGGTAGGCGGGGCGGGGGGGTAAAATCTGCGTATCTAAACGCAAAAAAAAAATTACCGAATGAAAAAGAAACTGACGATCTTCGCAAAACCTAAAACTCTCGAACCTCTGTCCTGCATGGCAGTGAACAGTGACATCACCCACAAGAATCTGATATATATATATATATATATATATATATATATATATATATATATATATATATATATATATATATATATATATATATATATATATATATATATATATATATATATATATATATATATATATATATATATATATATATATATATATATATATATATATATATATATATATATATATATATATATATATATATATATATATATATATATATATATATATATACACATATTTCATGTAGCTCCACAATGAAAACGTGGGTAAGATAAATCTTGATAAAATCACACGGGGAAAAGGGAAACAACAGAGCACCTTGGCTTTCGTATTAATTCAAGACATCTTCAAGACGTCTTGAATAAAGACGAAAGCTAAGGTGCTCCGTTGTTTCCCTTTTCCCCGTGTGATTTTATCAAGATATATATATATATATATATATATATATATATATATATATATATATATATATATATATATATATATATACACTGTTAATGAATATGATGTATTTCTTTGTGTATGAACCTCTGTCCTGCGTGGCAGTGAGAAGTTATACCACCCTCAGTGTCAAGACCTGACTGAATTACTCAATAGGCAAACTGTACTCCAAGCTTTGTCAATAAATATGTTAAACTAACTAAAATCATAACATTCCACCAATTTCCATCGCTGATTGGACAATGACGCTCAGGAGATTATAATTATTAACACGGTTCAATTTTGGCGTTTGATATTTTAGATAATTAAAAGGCAAGATAGACCGGGGTGAGGAGGTGGAGGGTAGGGAGGTGGGGGGGTGAGGAGGTGGAGGTGAGGAGGTGGAGGGAGGAGGTGGAGGTGAGGAGGTGAAGGGGTGAGGGTGGAAGGGGGTGAGGAGGTGGAGGTGGAGGGGTGGAGGTGGTGAGGAGGTGGAGGGGGGTGGAGGAGGTGGAGGGTGAGGAGGTGGAGGGGTGAGGAGGTGAGGGGGGTGAGGGTGGGGGGAAGGGGAAGTAGAAGGTTGGGAGGTGTCGGGGTTTCAAGGGTAATAGTGCACCACCATAACTTCAGCCTCCACCACCATGCACCATAACCAGCTCCTCTAACTAGCATCACTCTGTACTCGGAGTTTTTAATGGCCTGTAAGGTAATGTATATCCATAATGGCGCTAAGTGAACGTTTATGGCTACAATTATCCCAAGTGTGTTTTAGTCGCCATATTTGTTGTAACGTTAAGTAAAAGATTCTTTAATATTTTCGTGGTATATCCAGGTTAAGTAAGAGAGATTTGTTAATATTATTATATATCCAGGTTAAGTAAGAGAGATTTGTTAATATTATTATAATATACCCAGGTTAAGTAAGAGAGATTTGTTAATATTATTATATATCCAGGTTAAGTAAGAGAGATTTGTTAATATTATTATATATCCAGGTCAAGTAAGAGAGATTGGTTAATATTATTATAATATATCCAGGTTAAGTAAGAGAGATTTGTTAATATTATTATAATATATCCAGGTTAGGTAGGAGAGATTATAACTGGTAAAGTTTTTAACACAACAGCTGGCAGATGGTGACCTAACGCTCTTTGACATACTTTCAATGTTCACTGTATATTGAATAGAACGCCATGTGCAGCTGACTGGTTGTGGCGGTGCTCAGGATACCAAGCGTGTTGCCTCACACACACACACACACACGTCATCTGATGCACTGGAGAAAACACACTTTGTTTTTTTTATAAAGCTGTTTGCATTTTGTAAAGTATAACAGGGCATTATATTAGTCTGATACATTAATTAAAGGTAAAAGTTTATTGGACTGGTAATATCTGTATCACTATCGGACTGGTATGGCCTCGCTCACCGCCTACGGGTCCTACTGCCAGTAAATGTCAACAGGGTGCCTCTGGGTGCTCGTAGCTTTCATAATTAACAGAGGTGATACACATTGTCTACGTTAGTGTCTGGTGGATGAGAGCCAATGGGGGTGCCAAGATTCTCACTGTCTATTTTCAAATCAGTCTGGCCACACGGACACTAACAGCCTCTCACAAAACTAGTTGATGCATACAATGACTACCAACATTAGTGCCTCCAGGAGTGCCCCGATCATCAGTGCCACTTACAAATCATTCTGACCCACAACTCTTAAGTCTTTAGTAATGTACAAGATTAATCTGGCCAAGGCTTGTTCCCCCATGGTAAGAGTGCAGCCGCTGTGTACGTAATACCTCACTAGTGGCATACCGTCACGAAGCGTCTTACATTCTGCCAAAGGCCCTGTAGTCTCAGCTTCTGGTTAATGCTTACAAATACTGACTAAAGAAACACAAGTATGTAGGAGGTGAGTGGGAGGGAGGGAGGATGAGAAGGAAGGAGGAATGAAGGGAGGGAAGATGAGAAGGGAGTACAGAGAGAAGATAGAAACACCTTAGAACCTTGTAATGAAGCATAACACACACACACACACACACACACACACACACACACACACACACACACACACACACACACACACACACACACAAGCAACAGTAACAGTCGTACCCAAGATAACCTTCACACAGTGAGGTCCCAGGGACCCAGTGATAACGGCCCGACCCAACAACAACCAGCGATGTGTTAATCTGTCTACAATAGGAAGGCCTAAGACCAAACCTCACTCATATAACACCATCTGTGAGGTAATTACTACACCACGCCAGGTCCCTCATAACACCATCTGAGGGAACTACTACACCACATGTCCCTCATAACTGCATCTGTAGAGAATTACTGCACCACATGTCCCTCATAACACCATCTGTTGAGGGAATTACTACACCACATGCCCTCACTGCCCCACCATCTGTAGAGTTACTACACCACGTAAGGGCCCCTCATAACACCATCTGTGAAGTCAAAATTACTACACCACGTGAGGTCCCTCCTGCTTACCATCTGTGGGGAATTGCTACACCACGTCAGGCCCTCCTGCTTACCATCTGGCAGGGGAATTACTACCACGTGATCTCCTCATAACACCATCTGTGAGGGAGTTACTACACCACGTAGGGCCCCTCCTTAACATCTGAGGTAATTACTACACCACGTGATGCCCCTCATAACACCATCTGTGAGGGAGTTACTACACTACGAGTTTGCTGTTTAACACCTACAATAATCTGTAAGTTCCTTTACCTTTCTCTAATGAAGGCTCTTGTTAAACCACCAATGTATGTAATAAGTCATTTATGTCCAATGTATATTTTCAGCCTTCGGGCTGCAGAATTTTTTTCAATAAACCGTTAATTATTATTACTATTATTTTTACACACACCGTTCCACAAAAAGTGCCCTGTCAACTAAACACTCGGATATAAATGGACCGTCATAATTAATAGTGATAAGTCACGCTTCGGCGACTTTGGTGTCCTTTCTAACCAAGACACAACGAGTTTGGGGAAAAACACGTCTACGCTGCCCCACCTCCACCTTATGACTCTTACAGTATATCTATTTACTTTTACCTTTTTGACATTTTGATAATTTTTTTTGTTAGTGTTGTTCATAGTTTCGATAGACTTCGGGTTCTTTCTTACTGGTTGGAGATATAAAAACGTGTCTATCAGGTTTCATTTGGCTTAGTTACGACATAAAGTTCCAGTTCTATAGGGTGTGTACACACAAGCTAACTGTGTGTGTGTGTGTGTGTGTGTGTGTGTGTGGGGGGGGGTGTAATGTGTACATACGTAATACATACCCAGCGAAAACCTTGTAAATTGTACCTCTGAATAAAAAAAATCCCCCTTAAAATAACAGAATCCCACCACTTCAAAGGGATTTAAAACACTCACTTCTGGTACACTAAAAGAAAAAGAAAAAAAACACACACACGAGCCAAAGTGGACCTCAAAACCCGTGTCAACAAGCACCACGCGAAAGACCTAACGAGCCGTAAAATTGTATTCTATTTTACTTATTGACCAAGATTTTCCTCCTCTTTCTCACGTATAAAACTCCACCACTTAAGCCACTATGATTACGTTACAAGATCACTCAAGTTAAAACCTCATCCGTGTTTGGTTTTTAAAGATCACACTCAGTCATTACACCCATCATCATAACAATAATATGAACAAGAATATGAAAAAAAAAACCACACACACACACACTTGTTACGAGACAGTTCTGAGAATCGCCCAACCATTCGTAGGAGTCGACAAGATTTGCATACAACCCGAGGCGTATAGGAATTCAAGTGCCCGAGTGAGGCCAGTTTACATCAATCCAACGTGTTTAACTCTCTCTCTGGTCTTCCCCGCACGAATGGTCAGCCTCACTACCTCGTGTTAGCCATCTCTATCCATCCATCCCTCCTCAAGCTTATTTCATCTGATGATTAGAACAAGCTAATCCTACCCGGGTGGTTTGGTTAGATTAGCTTAGGTGTTGGCGTGGACTGAGAGAGATGTTGGCGTGGGTTGAGGCAGGAGATATTGGCGTGTGTTGAGCGAGGAGATATTGGCGTGGGCTGAGTGACGAGATATTGGCATGGGCTGAGTGACGAGATATTGGCATGGGCTGAGGGAGGAGATATTGGCATGGGCTGGTGACGAGATATTGGCGTGGACTGGGGAGGAGATATTGGCGTGGGCTGAGGGAGATGTTGGCGTGGGTTGAGGAGGAGATATTGGCGTGGGCTGGTGACGAGATATTGGCGTGGGCTGAGGCAGGAGATATTGGCGTGGGCTGAGTGACGAGATATTGGCGTGGGCTGAGGGAGGAGATATTGGTGTGGGCTGGGGCAGGAGATATTGGCGTGGGCTGAGTGACGAGATATTGGCGTGGGTTGAGGAGGAGAAGTGTGGGCTGGTGACGATATGGCGTGGGCTGGTGACGAGAAATGGCGTGGGTTGAGGCGGAGATATTGGTGGGTTGAGGCGGAGATATTGGCGTGGGCTGAGTGACGAGATATTGGCGTGGGCTGAGTGACGAGATACTGGCGTGGGTTGAGGAGATATTGGCGTGGGCTGGGGAGATATTGGCGTGGGTTGGGGAGATATTGGCGTGGGTTGAGGCAGAGATATTGGCGTGGTTGAGGCAGAATATTGGCGTGGGTAGTGACGAGATATTGGCATGGGCTGGTGACGAGATGGCGTGGGTTGAGCGGAGATATTGGCGTGGGTTGAGTGACGAGATATTGGCATGGGCTGAGTGACGAGATATTGGCGTGGGTTGAGGCAGGAGATATTGGCGTGGGTTGAGTGACGAGATATTGGCGTGGGCTGAGGGAGGGATCTGGTGGGTTGAGGAGGAGATATTGACGGGCTGGGGAGAATACTGGCGTGGGTTGAGGAGGAGATATTGGCGTGGGTTGGTGACGAGATATTGGCGTGGGCTGAGGAGGAATATTGACGTGGGCTGGGAGGAGATATTGACGTGGGCTGAGTGACGAGATACTGGCGTGGGTTGAGAGGTATTGGCGTGGACTGGGGAGATGTTGGCGTGGGTTGGTGACGAGATATTGGCGTGGGTTGAGGAGGTGTTGGCGTGGGTTGGTGACGAGATATTGGCATGGGCTGAGTGACGAGATACTGGCGTGGGTTGAGCAGAATATTGGCGTGGGTTGAGTGACAGATATTGGCATGGGCTGAGTGACGAGATATTGGCGTGGGTTGAGGCAGGAGATATTGGCGTGGGTTGAGTGACGAGATATTGGCGTGGGCTGAGGGAGATACTGGCGTGGGTTGGGGAGATATTGACGTGGGCTGAGGAGGAGATACTGGCGGGTTGAGGAGAGATATTGGCGGGGTTGAGTGAGAGATATGTGGGCTGAGGGAGGAGATATTGACGTGGGCTGAGGAGGAGATATTGACGTGGGCTGAGTGACGAGATACTGGCGTGGGTTGAGGGAGGAGGTGTTGGCCGCCTAGGGGTCACTAACACCTTGCCCGTCTTTCTCCTTCCTCCTCCTCTTGCTTCCCTCTCAGTGTTGGGCTGTTAGTCAATTACTCTCCGCTGCTAAGCTTTACTCAGACTCTCTCTCTTCTCTCTCTCTTCTCTCTCTCTCTCCTTTGTGTTGGTGCTCAGTGCTGATGCTGTTCTTTAATACAGTTTATATTATAAGTTGTTGCTGTTCCTGCTGTTTGCTTCTCTACACAGCACTTACCTCACCTCTCGTCTCCTCCACACAAAAAAAAAAAAAAGAGAGAGAGAGAGAGAGAGAGAGAGAGAGAGAGAGAGAGAGAGAGAGAGAGAGCCCTGTAAAGAACACGCGCCTGGATCACACATCGTCTTGTTTACTCCTGAATCAGCTGACCATGACGCCACTTTAAGACGCACGCAGAGAGAGCTGAACAGAAAGTTATAGTGAGCTGGTTATGAAAGGAGAGAAAGGGAGAACAAGGTGTGAGAGAGAGAGAGGAGAGAGAGAGAGAGAGAGAGAGAGAGAGAGAGAGAGAGAGAGAGGTAACCACAAACGTTTTACAACACAACGCCGCCAATACTTACACCAATAATAATCCGTCTTACACCACCAACCACTATCACCACCACCACCTACCACTATAACCACACCAACCACTATCACCACCACCACCTCCTACCACTATCACCACACCAACCACTATCACCACCACCACCACTCCTACTATTACCACCACCTACTATCACCACACCAACCACTATCACCACCACCACCACCTCCTACTATTACCACCACCACCTACCACTATCACCACCACCACCACTCCTACCACTATCACCACACCAACCACTATCACCACCTCCTACCACTATTACCACCACCACCACCAACCACTATTATCATCACCAACCACTATTACCACCACACCAACCACTATCTCCACCTCCTATCACTATCACCACCACCACTTTCTACCACTATTACCACCACCACCACGTACACTAAAACAGTAACATAAATCTGAACAGGACGCTACAACGATAAGTTTCCCTGGCATATAAACTTTGTTGACGACTCCTGACAGCACAACAAACTACCTGCCTTGTATAATGGAAGGCTGAGGCTGAATTTAATCACCTCACGTTATGCCTCGTGATATAGACGAGGTGTTGAATTATTCTCGAGATAACTAACCTTAATCTAACCTTAATCCAACCTAACCTTAATCTAACCTAACCTTAATCCAACCTAACCTAACCTCAACCTAACCTAACCTTAATCTAACCTAACCTTAATCCAACCTAACCTAACCTAACCTTAATCCAACCTAACCTAACCTTAATCTAACCAAACCTAACCTTATTCTAACCTTAATCCAACCTAACCTAACCTTAAATTAACCAAACCTAACCTTATTCTAATCTAAACAAGTATTAATCTAACCAATTCTAGTCTAGCCTAACCTAACCAAGCCTAACCTAACCAAACCTAACCTAAACTAACCAAACCTAACTAAAGCTTATCTAACCGAACCTTAAACGATAGAGAACGTGACAAGATTAACCTAACCTTGGTCACGTAATAAAGTGTTACTTGTTCATTATGTTTGGCGTTACTAAGGATTTATGAACGTTGGTACAGTTCAGAGCTGACCAGATGATGTTTTATCACACACACACACACACACACACACACACACACACACACACACACACACACACACACACACACACACACACACACACACACACACACACACACACACACACACACCTTCCCCCATTATTACGCCGCCCTTGTGCCGAATCACCACCACAACTTACCTACACTATACTACTAACACCACCACTATCACCACCATTATCACCACTACTACCACCATTACCAGTACCACCACCACTATCACCACCATTACCAGTACCCCACCACTATCACCACCATTACCAGTACCACCACCACTATCACCACCATTACCAGTACCACCACCACTAACACCACCATTACCAGCTACCATCACCACTATCACCACCATTACCAGTACCACCACCACTATCACCACCATTACCAGTACCACCACCACTATCACCACCATTACCAGCACCAACCACCACTATCACCACCATTACCCAGTACCACCACCATTACCAGCACCACTATCACCAATCATTACCAGCAACCCCAACCACCATCACACCACCATTACCAGTACCACCACCACCATCACCACCATTACCAGTACCACCACCACTATCACCACCCCAATACCAGTACCACCACCACCATCACCACCATTACCAGCACCACCACCACCATCACCACCATTACCAGTACCACCCACCACTATCACCACCATTACCAGCACCACCACCACCATCACCACCATTACCAGTACCCCACCACCATCACCAACTACTTCACCAGCAACCACCACCATTACCAGTACCACCACCACCATCACCACCATTACCAGCACCAACCAACCACTATCACCAACTACTACCAGTACCACCACCACTATCACCACCATTACCAGTACCACCACCACCATCGCCACCATTACCAGTACCACCACCACACCATCCACCAACTATACCAGTACCACCACCACTATCACCAACCACACCAGTACCACCACCACTATCGCCACCACACCAGTACCAACCACCACTATCACCACCATTACCAGCACCCACCAACCACCATCCACCACCACACCAGTACCAACCACCACACCATCACCACCAACCATTACCAGCACCACCAACCACTATCACCACCATTACCAGTACCACCACCACCATCACCACCACCACCACCAGTACCACCACCACCACTCACCACCATTACCAGTACCACCACCACCACCACACCATTACCAGTACCACCACCACTATCACCACCATTACCAGTACCACCACCACTATCACCACCATTACCAGTACCACCACCACTATCACCACCATTACCAGTACCACTATCACCACTACCAACACCACTTCCCTTCCAGATCTACTCAGCCATTATTATTCAGATCAATACTTGGCAAACACTGGCAACCCTGATGAACCACACACACACACACACACACACACACACACACACGCACACACACACAATGAATGAATTAATGTGTGTGTGTGTGTGTGTGTGTGTGTGTGTGTGTTTAAGTCAACCAATCAGAGGCAAATATACCAGGTATTCCAAAACACATTTTTAACGGTACCGGAAGCAATATATCCGAACACTGGTGGGCGTATCCGAACACCGGTAAGGATATACAAATACCGAACCTAATCCATCTCTAATCTAACCCCCCAGATGTAGTTAAGATGAGGGGGGGTTAATCTTCAGGTGATCCCAAAATACGGTGTGTGTGTGTGTGTGTGTGTGTGTGTGTGTGTGTCTCTCTCTCTCTCTCACGTCATGAAAGAGCTCCCAAACCATGTCATTCTCAGAAGCTATTAGTGACAGCTATGTTGATCATTATAATCACCGCAACTGACCAACCCAGCAGCTAACATCTTCTCACCACCAGACAAAAGGAACTAGTAATTTATACACCACGTGCTACCGTATTGTCCTGCTCCCAAAAGCTAATGACAAAAAATAACAACAAAATAACAAGAAAAGCCAATCAAGACACTCTTAAAACACACACACACACACACACACACACACACACACACCTGTATCCTAGTTTTCTATACCTGTACTAGCAGAGGGGATCACCCTGAAGACCCCCCCACCTAGTTTGTTCTTATTAAACACACTAACGCCACTTGGGGAGAGGTTGGGTTAGGTTGGTCAGGTTCATTACCAGTAATATAAATCTGGTCATGTCAGGCTGTGTGTGTGTGTGTGTGTGTGTGTGTGTGTGTGTGTGTGTGTGTGTGTGTGTTTAACTCAATCTAATTAATGCGTTAAATAGTACGAGTAGATAGGTTTATTAACACAACTAATTCACCCATCTATAAACACAACTAATTCACCCATCTATAAACACAACTAATTCACCCATCTATAACACAACTAATTCACCCATCTATAACACAACTAATTCACCCATCTATAACATAACTAATTCACCCAATCCCTTAATACAAACACCAGAAAACGACTAAACATGTTTTTAACTCGAACCGAATACCCCCTCCCTCCCCCCAAATAATTACTCCAATAGTCTTATGATTCAAATAATTACTATGATTAGGTTAGGTTAGGTTATACCATCGCGTGTTGAATGAAATTTTAACAGGAAAAGCCCCGCCGAAACCTCCAGGAATTTCTTCATTTCTCTTAATTAAATCACTATCATCATCATCAAACGAATAACTAAACATTTTATTAGTTATGTTAAGTTATTTACTATATACAGGTTTACATAATGTTTACTTAATATATACTTTAATAATAACACCAGAACGAAAATTGAAAAAAAAAAAATCTATATTTCCTACAGCGTAAAATTCTCTTCCATTTATGACAACTTTTCGTTTCTTATTGAGTATATCTTATTCTTTATTTGTATCTGGGGAATATTATTACAGACAGGTGTTAAATATTTATACTGAACATTAGGCTTGCGTTAGATGAGGTTAGGGTTGGTTAGGTTAGGTAAGGTTAGGTTAGCGTTTGGTTAGGTTGGATTAGGTTGGATTAGCGTTAGGTTAAGTTAGCGTTTGGGGGGAATTAATCTTGAAGTGAAATAAGCCGGGGTGTCTAATCTTCAGGTGATCCCTAACACTGTTTACAATGTCAAAAGAGACGGATATCTAAGACGGATGGTGTATAACGATAAGATCCTCCAGCCAGCCAGTTAACCAGCCAGCCAGTTAACCAGCCAGCCAGTTAACCAGCCAGCCAGTTAACCAACCAACCAACCAACCAACCAAGCCACTCAACCAGC